TGAAATTTTCTGTTGAATTTTCAACAATTCAGCAATTCGACAGCTTAAGGAATACCCTTATTGTTTAATTTCATATTAAAACGGTACTTTCAAAGTTTTATACAATTATCTTTAAAGGAAGCAATGTTGATCTGATCATTCTTATGGCAGCTGTATGGTATAGTTGACCAATCCGAAGGATTTTATATTTAAATGCGTTTTGACAAAAAACAACGACGGAGAAAGTTTTACTTTCATATCTTTAAAATTGAGGGAGCTATTAATTTTGGCCAGAAAAATTAGTCAAGCCGTTGTAATTAATCTTGTCACTCTTTTCGCGATATCAGCGTTCATATGGACGATTTTTTGAAGTTTGTGGGCGGTTTGTGTGAGTCAGATTGGGCGTAGCTCACTGACGAAATAAACTTGCGCTGCGTAGGAATCTCTAGAGTCTGCATGCCTAATCCTAGTATAGCAGCTTTTATAGTTTTCGAGATCACAGCGTTCATACGGACAGACGGGCAGACGGACAGATGGACAGCCGGACATGGACATCGACTAGTGATCCTGATCAAGAATATATATACATTATAAAAAAAATAAATAAAAAATAAAAGGGTGTCATTGGGATTCGAACCTGCGTCAAAACGATTTTTAACCAAACCCTTAAACCGTCTGCGCTATGGATACAGCAACCCGTCCGCTGACATGTTTTGAAATCGAATTACGGTACTACAGATCATGCAAAATAAATAGTTCTGTTTTCCATAAAATATTTCTGTTTTTTAGAAAATATATCCATTATTTAGGGTAAGAATCATTTTAGGGTTAGGGTTAAAAAAGTCAATGCAAAACAATTTTATTTTTGCGTTAGCTGTTCTATTTTTCAGCACAAAATTTATATTTATAAGGACATTTTTTCTTGTTTTTAGTGCGATTCTAGTTTATATTAACCATTTCCTCATTTAAGTAACGCTTTCTTCATTAACTTTAGAATGAATTTTCTTGTATTTAGAAAAAAGAAACGTTAATGTCGTTTTACTAAAATTTATGGCATCGACTATTGGATACCCTTTACTCAGCTTAAGGCAGTGCGAAACCGATGGAGATATATGCTTAAAGCAACTCTGTTTTTTTCACGAACACGCCTATCCTATAGCGCCACCTATATTATTCTTCTTCTTTAGCGCCACTTGGACTACATCGCCAAATAGCCTATAGCGCCCCTAGCGGCTTGTTAGCGTGTTAGTGAAAGCAGCTTATTTGCTGCATGTGGTGTACAATCTCGATGGAATTGCAAAAAAAATTGATTTTTTTTTTTATAACTTTTTAATGAGGGGTCCGATTTCTATAATTTTTGGGCATGTAGGTATTAATAATAAAAACAGACTCTCGTTTAAATTTTTACGAACATGGACATGGCTAGATCGACTTGTCTAGTGATGCTGATCAAGAATATATGTACTTTATACTATCAGCTTTGATAGTTGAAATAGAAGACAATTTCTGTAAAACTGTCCGTCTATCCGTCCGCTTCTACTCAAACTAGTCTCTCAATTTTAAAGCTATCGGGTTGAAACTTTCCCAAAAGTCTTATTACTTTTGCAAGAAGTATTTAAGTCGGAACCAGCCGCATCGGACAACTATATCAAATAGCTCCCATAGGAATAATCGCAAAAAAAAATTATATCTTTGGTGTTCTTTATTTTCCTTATAACTTCCTACGCTTGGAAATAACATTTTTTAATTAGTTTTGAATTTCGAATTAATTTTTATTAAAATCGAACGACTATATCATATAGCTGCCATAGGAACGATCAGAAAATTGGTGGAAAAATAATATGAAACAAATCATAGCTTCGGTGTTATTCGACATATTATCTTATACTATTGGGAATATCACTTTTTGTATTTTTAAGAGTTTCGAATTAAAATTAATAAAAATAAGACGACTCTAACATATAGCTGTCAAAGAAACGGTCAGAGATATAATGAAATATTTATTATACCCCTGAATTTATTTTTATATTATTTGTAATTGATTTTATTTTTGCAAAGTCTTACAGAAATTGTCTTTTATTTCAACTAACAACTTTTTTTTATTTTAATTGATTGTAATTGATTTTATTTTTGCAAAGTCTTACAGAAATTGTCTTCTATTTCAACTAACAAAGCTAATAGTATAAAGTATATATATTCTTGATAAGGATCACTAGCCGAGTCGATCTAGCCATGGGGATTAGGCATGCAGGTTCCTGAGATTCCTGCGCAGCGCAAGTTTGTTTCAGAAACGTGCCACGCCCACTCTAACGCCCAGAAGCCACCCAAAACTGTGGCTCCTACGGTTTTGATGCTAGAATAAAAATTTTAGCTATCGATTGACCCAAAAAAAGTTTGCCACGCCCACTTTAACGCCCACAAACTAAAAAAAATCGTAAGTATGAACGCGGATATCTCGGAAACTATCAAAGTTAGAGAAATGGGATCTCAGACTTAGATTTCGTAGCCCTGTATGCAGCGCAAGCTTGTTACGCAAATATGCCACGCCCACTCTAACAAGCCACCCAAGCCTTTGCGCCCACGATTTTCATGCTAGATACAAAATTGTAACCGAAATGTATTGGTCTCGTCAATACCTATCGATTGAAAATTAGCCACGCCCACTCTAACGCTCATAACGCTTAAATCTGTCTACCGCCCACATAACTACATATTGAGATCACGGGTAGGTGGCGCATTTTAATCTCGCTTTGCTGCTTGCATATCTCCATTTCCCTTTGGTCCCATTAGCTGAGTAACGGGTATCTGATAGTCGAGGCACTCGACTATAGCGTTCTTGTTTAAAAATGTTATTACTAAAATGTTTTAAATATTGAAATTAATTTTAACGGACAAAATTTCTATACCTGAACTAAAAAATGATATTGTAATAAAAATGTATAATAAGTAAACATAACACTATAAGTAAATTCAATTTACTTAATTTTACTATAATCTAATAATTTACTTTTATAAAACAAAAACTAAAAACTTTTATAAAAAATTGGTTTTTTTTCGATATACAATAATGCTCCTAAAATATTAGGGCATTCACATGTCGCTGCTCCACGAAAATTTTTCCGCCGAAATGTTAGTCGCTAGCCGAACATAACAGAAAGACGCAAAAGAATTAACGGATCGGCCGAAATTTGTCTCTGAGAGCGCCGAGTGCAGGCAGATTATAAGAAAAAGAAAGAGAGGGAACTCCCGAATATCTGCCTCTCTTTGTTGCACTATTGTTTTCGTAGGCAGTCTTCTACGCTGCGCCGACTTCTCTGCTGACGTCAAGAGCGGCACAACGTTTTAGGCACAAAAAAAAAACAAAAAAGCTTTTTGCCTTGAGCCATGTCACCGCGTCCCTACTGCAGAACTGAAGGGTTAATACTTGTATATATTTACCTGGACTGGATAAATGGGAATATTGGAATTGAAAAATAAATTGAATAGGGTTTTTACTTTTAGCTCCACCTTTTAGTCAAAATTATCTTACGAACAAATTACGCGAATTCTTAATAACATAATTGAAAATACATTGTCAGCACGATAAGAAATATCGTCAATTATTTGGAATTTTTGATGAGACGTCACAAATGAGATTTGACGAGTTCATCACATTACCTTAATCGTCACCTTACCCTACACTCCCCTTTTATTTTGACGGCGAATGGACAGCCCTGGTTTTTTATAAAGCATTCAAAATCGTAGATAAAGCTTCTTTGTTTTTATAGAAAAAATTAAAAATTAAAAATTCAATAACAAGAGAACAATGCATTTCCGCAGAAAGAGATTTGCACGATAGTTTCTAAGAAATCGCATTTCCTAGAGCGTATTTTTACGCGATTTTTGGGGCACATGCACATTTTTAGACTGGAATGAAACAGGTTGCGCTTTTTATCGCTCATTAACTTCCAAACGGTAAAGTTGCGAAATCTAAATGGCTAAATAGTTTAAAATTTAAAAAGAAATCGTTAGAACCAAATTTGAGAAAATAGGCAGAAATTGGTAAAAAAAAAAACATTGAGCTATAACTTTAAATCTATTGTATTTAAACAATTTAAGCAAAGGCAGCGTGATAATCATATTGAATTACATTTTTGGTGACATACAGAAGGTATATGTAGCATTAGTTTTTTAGAAACTGTAAGCCCTTTAAGTCTGGTTTTCTTATTTATCGCTAAACTAGCGAGTTAAACTAGCGTATAACAAAAGTTTTCTATCTTGAGCTTCTTAATACATCAATAAAGTCCCCAAGACCCTAGAACCAAAAAGGGATTTATACAAACCAACAAGCAAAGTGAAAAAACTTTTCATTTTAGAAAGACTTGCAACATTTTTTGATAACTTTTAAGCGGAGTATTGGATTTTAGCAATCATTAGATGCGCATTTTCATTAAGAATAAAACTGCAATTACTCAGCTTGAAAAGGACATTTTAAAAATGACAAAACATAGGACAAAATGTTATCTTTCAATATTTTATTATGTTAGAGCACTACAATTATTTTAAATTATTTATTTTAAGCACAGAGTCTGTATCAGTTTGATGGCCGAGTCAATAATTTCGTCATTCTCGGTTGCTCCAAGATGACTTTTACATATTCCCGAGAAGTGACCAACTGGATAGTGCCGCTTCCTGCACACAAACTTCAACCTTTAGCTTAGGTGGAAAAATTAAAGCTAAATTTGCAACAATTCAAGTTTTTAAATTCGGATTGCTTTATCCATGATTAACTGAGCTTTTGCTTACAATTTTCCTTAGGCATCTTAAAGCCTAGTACTCAGATCGGAAAAAAGTTTCACTAGTCGAAAAATCTCATTCTTTGTAGTGTGACCGAAGTTTTCAAAGTTAACCCGCAATGCATGTGGCATGGTCTTACTGTCAAGCAGCTGGGCTTGTTGCCAAACGGAAAACAATTAATAGGAGCAATTTAAAAAAGAAGAGTCTGCTGGTGTACAAAGTAATTTAAATATAAATAAATGGAATGTTCAACGAATGTTTTTATTTCTGTAAATTAGAAGTTTAAGCCTTCCTTCTCGTCCCACGGATGATTCGTCATCTTTCCCGCGCCTTCTGTAGTCCAGCTCCGACTCCCAATAGGCATATTGGGCCTTGAGGGAGTGGGAACGAGATTGGAAACGCGGTCGTTCCGCTGATGCTGCAGGATGTCGCCCAGCCTCCTGGCAATGGCTGGCTATGGCTTCTCCAACTGATCATTAGCGGGCGCCCTTTTTTCCTCCTCCCAGCTCCGCATAAGCTGCCAAGTAGCTGGTGGTGGTGGTATCCGCAGTCCTAATGGAGAGGTCGTCGGAGATCGTATTATTGTTGGTTCCGCTAAAAATATACTTCTATTAGTACAACGTAACCAAATTCTTTTCGCCAGATCTTACTTTCTTTGCGAGGGCACGCCCGCCAGGATGTGCATGTAAGGAACGAAGTCCCACTCGGCATGTTCCTTCGCACTGGGATCCTCTAGTGGATCTCGTCCAGCATTTCCACTATCCTGCGGATTTGCCCCTGTTGTGGTATTGCTTTCTGTCGGTGAAATCCCACAATAAAGGGCAACAGCTTGGACTAAGCGTCCTATTTCATCTGTACTGACCTCCTGCATTCGATTTTGGGGTTTTCCTTCCATTTTTATATTCTTGCAGATGGTATATTGATTTCAGTCAGAAGTTTGCAACGCAGTGAAGGAGACGTTTCCGGCCCCATAAAGTATATATATTCTTGATCAGCATGACTAGACGAGTCGATCTAGCCATGTCCGTCTGTCCGTCCGTTTCTACGCAAACTAGTCTCTCAGTTTTAAAGGTATCGGGTTGAAACTTTCCCAAAAGTCTTATATCTTTTGCAGGTAGTATATAAGTCGGATCCAGCCGGATCGGACAACTATATCTTATAGCTCCCATAGGAATAATCGGAAAAAAAAACTTTAAAAAATTATATCTTTGGTGTTTTTAAACATATAACCTCCTAAGCTTGGAAATTACATTTTTTAATTAGTTTTGAATTTTGAATTAAATTTAAACAAAATCGGACGACTATAGCATATAGATGCCATAGGAACGATCGGAAAATTCGCGGGAAAATGATATGAAAACAAGGAAGAACGCTATAGTCGAGTACCTCGACTATCAGATACCCGTTACTCAGCTATATGGAGATATGCAAGCAGCAAAGCGAGATTAAAATGCGCCACCTACCGGAGGTATACAGATTTAAGCGTTATGGGCGTTAGAGTGGGCGTGGCAAATTTTTTTTGGATCAATCGATAGGTATTGACGAGACCAATACATTTCAGTTAAAATTTTTTATCTAGCATGAAAATTGTGGGCGTCACAGGTTTTCGCGGTTTGTGGGCGTTAAAGTGGGCGTGGCAAACTTTCTTTTGGGTCAATCGATAGGTATTGGTGAGAACAATACATTTCAGTTAAAATTTTTATTCTAGCATCAAAACTGTAGGAGCCACAGTTTTGGGCGGTTTGTGGGCGTTAGAGTGGGCGTGGCACTGTACTGAAACAAACTTGCGCTGCGTAAGAAGCTCAGAAATCTACACGCCAAATCTCAATAGTCTAGCTCCCATAGTTTCCGAGATCTCAGCGTTCATCCGGACGGACAGACAGACGGACAGACGGACAGACGGACATGGCTAGATCGACTCGGCTAGTGATCCTGATCAAGAATATATATACTTTGTGGGGTCGGAAACGCTTCCTTCTGCCTGTTACATACTTTCCGACGAATCTAGTATACCCTTTTACTCTACGAGTAACGGGTATAAAAATTATAGCTTCGGTGTTTTCTAACATATTATCTTATACTTTTGGGAATATCATTTTTTATATTTTTTAATTTAATAATTATAACTGCAAGGGTATACAATCTTCGGCTTGCCGAAGTTAACTTCCTTTCTTGTTAATTTTTAGTTTCCACATCGCCTTTGCACGAACACCGCCAAAGTTTAAATTTCTTGTTCTTTGGGCCGCGGCTAACGGCGTTCACCGAAATTCACTCGCTAAATCCGGTATTTTTTCTGGTATTTCCTTAGCTCATCTGAGTACCGCGCTGAAAAACAGACCCGACGAAAAGCGTTAGCCGCATATTTGTCTCTCGCTCACTCCTATGGTTAGCTCGCGGTTTTCGGCGATGTGAGTACTAGGCCTAAAAGTGAAAGGAAATAGTGATGGGTCCAATGGTTGTCTGACCATACTGCAAGCACAAAACGATAGCTATTTGGAACTGTCGAACGATACCCAAAGGTCCATTTCTAATAAACTTATAAGCTTAGTTTGAAAAGCAAAAAAAAGGACAGATTTCCGGACAGGAGATGTTGCAAATTAGTTCCGGCTGAGACAGTCTGAAAAAGGTCAGATCTGTCCGGAAAAAGGACAAATTGGTAGCACTCGCTTTGTCACTAAGTGAACTGTTGTCCACAGTAATCTCGGAGTCTTTTTGACGAAAAGGACCTGTCCTAACTGCTTCCAACTGGCTGGTCTTGTCTTCAATTCACAGTGGTTGGGCTTTTATGGAGCCCCGGCCATAAGTACTTCTTGATATATTGTAACAAAATGTACACAAAAATGCTAAAAAAATATATTTTAAATGTGTAATAAAAAAATTGGCCATATTGTATGTCTATATCATATAGCTGCCATAGAAACGATCGGATAGATATAAGCAATAGTATGAACAACTTTTTTGTTTTTCAAGATATGTAATGTATTTTGAATTGTATTTTTAGTTTTTAAACAGAACTCAAGCTGCCCTATCGGGTTATAATTGTTATTATTGTTGTTTTGTTATAATTGACGCTCAACCGTGGAAAGTTCCGCGATTCCGAATTCAAAAAAAATTCATAAAAAATAACCCGTTCAAAGTTGTTTAAAAAATAATAAACGCAATCGTCTTGAAAAGGATTAACTCGGAAAATATTATTTCAATAATTTGTTTGAAGTGCAAAATGATTTTTAAGTGCAAAATATAAAAAATTGTTTTAATGCACAGAAATAAAAAGGAAGTAAAGTTTTTTAAAGGAAAAAACAACAAATAAGAACTTCCAGTTAAATGCGAAAACAATTAATAATTTTTTTAAAGTGCAAAAAATGTTTGAATGCGCAGAAATAAAAACGAAATAAAGTTTTAAAAGGAAAAAACTAAGAACTTCCACTTAAAAGCGAAATCAATGACTAATTATCTTAGGTGCAAAAAATTGTTTGAGTGCGCAGAAATAAAAACGAAATAAAGTTTATTTAATAAAAGGAAGAAAACAGTAAATAAGAACTTACAGTTAGAAACGAAAACAATTAATAATTTTTTTTAAGTGCAACAAATTATTAATTGCGAAAATTGGAAAAGAAGTTTCTGGTGCCCAGTAACTGGAGGATAAATTAGCTGCGAGTAACCTGCAACAGCATTCATCACAACGATTCGCCTCCCGCAGGAAAACAATACAAGACCTTTTTTTGGAAAAAAAAGAGTATAATACATTGTGTTTCCACTTGACCAAATGTAAGTAAGGCGATTGTTTATTATCTCCTTAGTATAATCAAACTTCAGAAAACAAAGAAAACAATTGATTTTTCCAGTTCAGAGATTATACTTAATAAATTAAATGAGCTATAGAGAAGGAAAAGGCACAGACAGTAGTGACGAGGAACTTCTAGAAAGCTATAGGAACATCAAAATAAAAAAACCACAGACTAACGAATTCGCAGGATATATTGGGAACAGTATCAGTATGTCGAATAGCGATATTTCTGAAATTGTACGCGCCGCAGTTCAGGCAGCGTTGAACACAGGCCCAGGCTCTCGAACAGAAGTTCCAAGAGTTGGAGGGTAGAAAAGGTGCTATTTCTCTGACAAATACGGAGGTTAAGGCCTATGAGGCCATAAGTATAAACAATAGTGTAAAGTGCGAAGAGCCTTCAGACATTGTCAAGTCCATTCCCGTATTCGACGGGAAGCAGAAGAATTATGTCTCTTGGAGACAAGCGGCTAATGCTGCGTATACCGTCTTTAAGCCCTTTAATGGCAGTTCCGACACTACAAGGCAGTAGCAGTTATAAGAAACAAAATAAGGGCAACGCAGATGCGGTATTAGCCTCCTTTTAACACGGTTTTGAATTTTGAAGCCATTGTAGAGCGTCTTGATTTCACGTACGCCAACAAAACACCGGTACGGGTAATCCAGCAAGAATTAGATACCATGAGGCAGGGAGAACTTTCTCTAAATAAGTATTACGATGAGATAGAGAAGAAGCTAACGCTTCTTACTAATAAAACATTAATCTCACACGAGCCTTCCGCTGCTGCTGTGTTGAATCAGAAATTTAGGAGCGATGCTCTCCACACTTTCGTTTCCGGGCTAAGAAAGCCCTTGAGACTCGCAGTATTCCCAGCCCAACTCCGCACTAGCAATCGTACAAGAAGCGGAAGCGGCTAATGACAGATGCGCCTATGCCGCAAGCCTGGCTAGGTTTGCAAATGAAAAAGAAAAGCCCCAAAAAACTGCCAGTCAACACAACCAGAAACCGGACAACGAACAAAAAAATCCGTACTACGTTAAGTCTGGGCAAGACAGGGCTTACAAATACAGGAATCCCTGTAGTTCTAAACAACGACCGATCAAAGCTGCACGCAAACAAAAAAAAAGTTTATGAAGATGTCTCGATGAGAACTCAGAAACTGACCTTTACCGAACAAAATGGGGATAATGAATATGAAAATTTGTAGGGTACAATGCATGCACGCACGCATAACGGTTAAAGTTTTGGCTGTAAGTTTTTCCTCGCTCGCATGTATAAAACGTAAATAGCGGCATAATTCCCGAATTTACTAGGCCGCCTCTCTTTACTGTACGTCTGCCATCTCGCTCGCACGATCTGCGCCGCGGCGACTGAACATCTGGCGAAAATCAGTGTGAGCGACTAGACGACGGAAAATATCACGCCATAACCCCGTTATTTTCCGTCTCTGCGCTCCCTACTTAGATTCCTGGAAGCGAAGTCAGCCACGTAGGCCAACTTCTGTGCACAACTCGAATACTTGAGTTTCTCTCGCTAAGGCCAGCAGACGTGCGCCCAAAACTCATAGTCAAGTCAAACAAGTCCACGGGAAAACTGACCGACAAACGGTACCAGAGTGCGGCAAGGTGCAACCTTAACAGTATTATCTAAAGTGAATAGTGCGAAACCATAGTCTGAGGTGAATATCAGTCATAATTTTTCTCGAGGACCGGTCATATAATATCGGAAGTGTTTTTGTTTCAGAACCCACCCCCCCCGCAATCGATCTCTTAACACGCGCTAAGTCCCTGCCACACAGTGTATGCTGGCGCTGATATCGTCGAACGACTGCAGAGCGGGGGGTGGATTCTAGGACCCTGGTCGGTTGCCGCCAATTTTCTGCCGAGCGTATTAATAACCAGTCAGAAGGAAATATTCTTCGACTTAGCCTTGGAGGTCGGATCAGCCATCCAGCGCCCGCGTCTCGGCTTACGTACCGGCAGCGGAGGCGACTTCATGAACAATTAATCAACGCAGACCCAGCCAACACCTATACGTCAGAGACTATATGTGTAGTCGGGTAGATACCCCGCTACCTCAACACCACTAGGGCATGAGGCCTAAGTAACAGGACACATCGGCCTTACGGCGTTGCCAGAT